GGTCAAGACCGTGGGAGAATACGAACGATGGCCGATGAGAATAACGAAGAGATGTCATCGAGATCCGTTACCATGGGCCCCACAACTTCGGAGTCACTTTTGAGAGCTCGAGAGGGTATGATAATGAGGCCCTTGGAAGATGAGAATAATGAAGCAATGTCTTCGAGATTCGATGTCATGGGTCAATCACCAAGCGCTATGAGCATGCCTCAAACTTTGATCAATTACAACTCCCCGTCTACTTCAAATGCACCTCCGAATCTTTTAACACGAACATCAAGTACGGCTATGATCCCCACATCTGTATCAACCCCCACAGCTCTCACCGCTCCCGACACCTCCCCATCAGGGCAAGGGATTACGGGCATATACTCCAGCACTGGATTTGATATGCTTGGAGCATTAATAAGAGTGGCAAAAAGACCAAATAAAGTTATTAACATAGGCGCCGTTGATTTATCATGTGCGTTTGTCGTCTGCGATTTACGAGAGACAGATTGTCCTATAATATATGTATCTGATGTTTTTGAGAACCTCACCGGGTATTCAAGACATGAGGTATTGGGAAGAAATTGTCGATTTCTCCAATCACCAGATGGCAAAATCCAAGCTGGTGAACGTAGGACGGCCACAGAAAACGACAAGGTCTATGAACTCAAGAAAGCCGTAGACAATCGAACAGAAACTCAGCAGGCCATCATCAACTATCGAAGAGGGGGTCAGCCATTTATGAATCTTTTGACGATGATTCCTATCCCTGCAAGTGATGACGACCCTACACTCTCTCTGGTGGTCGGTTTTCAGGTTGATGTGGTTGCGAATCCAACTAGTATCGATGGTATGAGTGGTGGGATTTACACGATGAATTATAAGCAAGGCACGTTACCACGATATCAATGGCAACCACCTCAGCAGAATGTTCGTCTAATTGATGCCGGACAAACGATTAGTCGAGATGATGTTAGCGCAGCATTAGCTTCATACGACAATGGTAGTGATCCGGAAACCACCAAGAGAATGTTTGATAAAGTACTTTTGGAGAATAGTGATGATGTTATTCATGTTCTTTCTTTGAAAGGCTTATTCATGTATCTTTCACCGTCATGTTGTCAAGTCTTGGAATATGATGCGTCTGAATTAGTCGGCACTGCTTTATCCTCCATCTGTCATCCTAGTGACATAGTTCCTGTCACTCGAGAGTTGAAGGAAACATCACAAGGGAGTGCTGTCAATGTTGTATTCCGCATTCGTCGAAAGAATAGTGGCTACACATGGTTTGAGAGCCATGGTTCTCTTTGTGCAGAGCAAGGCAAAGGTCGAAAATGTATCGTTATGGTTGGCAGGATAAGACCAGTATACGCACTGGCTCGAAGCGACTTGATGCGAATGGATGGTCTTAGTGATCAACAAATGTATTCGAAATTGTCAACATCAGGCATGTTTCTATACGTTGCAACAAATGTTCGGTCCCTCTTAGATCGCACACCAGATGATCTCGTTGGCACAAGCATTCAAGCGTTGATGCGTGCCGATTCCAAGGTCGCATTTGGTCGAGCCCTGGAGAAGGCAAGAACGGGAAAGATTGTTAAATACTCACATGAGCTTTTCAATAAGCGTGGTCTTGTCATACAAACTGAGACAGTACTCTATCCTGGAGATGCATCGGAGGGTCGCAAACCTACATTTCTTGTCGCCCAGACTCGATTGGTCAACAAAGCATCTCGAAATGTTGCTTCGGCCACTGGAGCAAATGGTACTACTATTCCTGGCGGTAAAACAATGATCATGAGTCCCATCACTAGAACCGATATACAAACTCCCGATGGAATATTATCAAACAATCAATTAGCTCGTCCTCAAGCTAGCCCATTTCCCGAACCTATGACACCAGGAGCTTCTGGTACCACAACCATACCTATCACGCAACCAGGTGGATCCGGGCTTCCAATTGGATCTCAAGATGAAGCCTTGGCTTCTAGGGATAACATTTTCGAAGAATTAAAAACGACACGCGCTACAAGTTGGCAATATGAACTTCGACAAATGGAAAAGGAAAATCGATCACTTGCCGAAGAGGTAGCATCGTTAGTGAATGCCAGAAAGAAACGAAAACGAAGAAAATTACCTGGTAACGTCCAACGAGATTGTGCTAATTGCCATACGAAGAACACTCCGGAATGGAGGAGGGGACCGAGCGGGAATCGAGACTTGTGTAATAGTTGTGGATTGAGATGGGCGAAACAGGTGAGTGATGACGGTTCTGACACCGCACCAATAGCTGGTCAAGCTGTTGATCATTCATCATCCTCCACATCTTGAAGTTGAGTTTGTTGAAAAGAAAACCCGCTTCAATTTCTGGTTCTTCTATATTCATCTCTGGATCAAAATCGAAAAGTTCTCAGTGGATAATTCCAATATCAAGGGCGGGTCAAGGTGCCATTTCGCTATTAGCCGCGAGAAAAATATTCAAGCACATAGCTGCTTTACGCCCTCTTTGCTCTATCATTGTTCTTAGTTTGTTATCTCATCCACCCCGTCGCATTACTTTCACGTCACACGACACTAATCTCATATCTTCTAAACGTTCAGCAAGGTCGCATATCCTCGCGTAGTTCTAAACGCAGTAAAGATGGTGATGCGTCAAGCAAACATTCCAATTCGCCGAGTCATTCTAGTCCATTACATAATGAAATTTCGCAAAACTCGGAATCATTAAATCCGAATTTAAATATCAATCCGGGAAATCTGACGGATTCTACGGTTCCGAGACCGGCAAAGTTGTTGAAGAAGGACTCGGATAACAGTGTAAGGACTGCAAGTACTGGAAGTCCCGTAACGGGTTCTGAGGGAACAAGCAAAATTGTAAAGGGAAATATTGGACCTGGGGGATCAGTAATGGTGGTGTCATGGGAAGTGGGACGGCAATTCCGGCATCTCTTGGAGGACGAACGACGATGCAGAGTCAACCTGTCCATGCGCGAAGTTTGGGATTTAATGAGGGCGGTGTTAGTGGGATCACTAACATTGAGGAGGGGCGAGAGAGTGAGAGGAGTGGGGGAACGGGTGAAATGAACTGGAAGGGAAAGGGTATAGTGAGGGAGGGGCTTACTAGTGGCCAGAGGGAGACAACTGAGGAGAGAAGAGAGCGAGAAAAGAATGAGGACGAATATAAACGAATTTTCGATAATGCGACGAATCATAACGAGCATTTCAAGGATGGTTGACTGGCAGGATTCTTCTAGATTGTTTTGCTAGCTGGATCTGGAGGGATTGATTACATTATTGGATGGGCTTTGCCTTGGAGTTTGAGTGGAGGGTTTTGGAAGGGTTTGTTATGGTGTTGGGAGTTGAGCTGACGCGCTATGGCGTGGGTATCCAAATCTTTTTGAGTCTTTTTGCTGGTTATGTTACTGGGGAGGTGGGGTTGACTTGAATTGAATTGATTGGGGGTGGGCTTGGATGGGATGGCATGGTGTGGTGTGGGGCTTAGAGTTCTTTATACCAGGGGCTTTTACGAACAGAGTTTGTAAGGGATGAAGAAGGTGGAGGGAAAGGGGGTTGGGCGGTTATCTTTGAAAGTGGAATTTAGACTGGATGGATGGGCTCGTTGTTGGGATGCGGAGGATGGATGATGATTTGCTTGCTTGCTATATTTTATCGTGTCGTGCTGTTATACTCTACTCTCTGATCTTTGAAAACATGATGGTGGGGTGGGGGAGTTGGAAGAGCTGGAAGAGTTGGGAAAGTTAGATTGGGAAAGTTGGAGGTTGGGCAGGGAGAGTCAGGTTGGGAAAGTTTAAAGAATACATATATATGCATTTATTTATTTTTGGTTTTGATGATTTGGTTTGATTCGATTGATTTGGTTTGGTTTGATTTGGTTTGATTCGATGACTAGGTGTGATCTAGATGATGGATGAACGATGGGTTGTGAGTGATTGAATGACTGGTGATGTAATCTTATCTTGTATGAAAGAATAGAATATGATAGAGTACAAACACATGAAGTTTGATAAAGTAGGTAGGTAGTTGATACTCATACAATTTCACTACTTTCTCAGTTTCCCGTTTCCCGTTTCCCGTTTGCTCTTTCCTATCCTATCCTATCCTATCCTATCCTATCCCTAATCCTGTTCCCATACGACTCTCATCTCATCCTATCTCATCCTATCCCGAAAGTTCACGTATACATACATACATATACATACATATATCGAATTTCCATTCCCATTCCCATCCCGATTTCCAATCCGAATCTCAAATCCCAGAGTCCAAGAGTTCCAGAGACACATACTCATACTTAGGCTCACATTCACCCAGCATACAGGATACCCATCCATCAACGAGGGGGAAAAAAAGCAAACATATGGGTACACAATAGCATACAATACAAGAACTCAACCACAGCCACAGCCACAAGCATCTCCCTATCATATCGTGCGTACTCTGGTGCCCTAGCATAGCATAACCTTTCATTGCGTAACAGTATTCCCTAAACAAGACCTCAAGAAGCCTCAGACGCCAACCCAGGATTTCCCAGTCAAATTCAACGTCAAAGAAGAGAAAAGGAGAGAAGAAAATAGAAGAACATATCCGAGAATCTGAGAAACCGAGTGACCAAAGAATCAGAGCCATAGCGCCTAATCATCAATTCCCAAAAACCGCGAGAGACAAATAAAGTAGAAGAAAGGGTATCATGTATACGTGAAAGCCATGCGAACCGAACCGAACCGAACCGAACCGAGCGAAATGAACAGAACCAGAACCAGAACAAGCGAAGCCAAGCCGATATGAAACCCAGAAAAAAGATCATGACCGAATGAAACTTCTTCGGCACATCATAACTCAATCTATCAAGAGCGCTTATCTTCCCTTGCTGAACTCTTGGCAAGAGGTCGTTGTGCAATTCGAAATATTCGAGTTCGAAGAACAACCAAGAAGAAATCGAACATAGCATCACAGCATCCTGATGCCTTCCAGAACGCAGACAAAAGGATTCATTACCCAACAACCCCCGCAAGCACTCCCATACACCCCAAATAGACCCCCACGCAAACCAATCCTTCTTTTCTCTGTGAACCTCTCAAGCCCTTGATACTTTCAATGACATCGTTTAGACCTATAAATCCACTTTGTACGAGTGCTCCTACGATACCCGATCCTACCAAACAAACCACCGTCATTCTGCCTAGGAATGTTGGAATAGTTGCGAAAGTCAGGATTGGTATTAAGATACTAAGAGCTATTGCACATGCCAAAGTGGGAAAATCTTCTGCATGAGAAGTTGTATTTCCCACTCCAGGATGATCATTTGCTAGATGGGGTGGTGGATGAAGAGGTGAGTCGACAGCGCTACTGGTAGGTGTTCTCTCAATCGGATGATCATCGTCACTACTATCTGAAACTGAAGATGGTAATGAACGTTTGTGACGAATGAATTGATCTCCATTTCGATGACGACCTTGACTTCTAAACCCAGAAGAAGCAGAAGCAACTGACACTAAATCGTCCTCAACTTTTGGATCTAAAAATCTAGTTTCCACTTCGGTTATGGGACGGACGATTTGAAGGTATTCGCGATAATGGCTAATATCTGGTTGAGAAGCGGGAGGAAGTGATTGAAGAGAGTGGAACGAGGTTAGAGTTTGATCTGGAAGAGGTTAGTATGGGGAAGTATGTGGGGTATGGGGTAAGGTAGGGATGGTGAGGAGTGCTGACTGTATTGAGCCAATTTGTAACCGATCCTCCCCAGAATATCCATTTTATGCCACTGTAAATCACCACCCATTTGTTCACTTGCTCTTCTCGACGCAGGAATTACATCTACCCCGATATTACCATTACCAGTATGACGTAACCTTCTAGATTCTGTATCGGCTTTATCCAATCTCTGTAACTGTTCTTCGAGTTCGCTTATCTCATCTTGAAGATGAAGGAGAAGACGATGATTGAGTGCTTCAAATTTTCGATACATGGGCTTGATACGATCTTCTACTACTGTATCGGAGCCGGAACCGGAATGGGAAGATGCTGATAAGCGAGAGGCAAGAAGTTCATAGCCTGTAATGGTCGGATCAATCTGAGATTGGAGTGTATGCTTGGGTGGATATGGATTGCGGGGTGTTTCAAGATCAGCGGGAGAGAGTGGATTACTGTCTGTGCGATGATGGGTTTTTGGTGTTCCAAATGATGGAGCTGCTCCGTAATAATTTTGACGTTGATTGGCAGCTGCCATTTGAGACGCTAATTTGACCGACGCATCTTTGGAATTTGTGGTGACTCTTAGATTTTCTCGACCATTAACGCTTCTCTCTGGTGATGTGCTCCTATCTGTGTCGATATCGGCTTCTGGTGCTGAGAAATCATCACTGTGAAGGCTACTTGATACGGATGAAGGACCAGTTGGATGTTCCTCTGGAGTATGTGGACGTGATACTGGGGTGAAACTTTTATCGCCATGGTCAATCAACCATTTAGAGGTATCGTCTTGTGTCTCGGCATTTTTCTCCTCTGCTTCCCCTTCCCTAACCTTCTCATCTTCTCCATCTTCTTCATCGGAGTCCTGTTGTAAATAGGCAAACACATTTGGAGGAGATGGCACAGCTGGCGATAGAGATTCTTCTTTAGTCTCAGCTTCTTTTCCTAGGGATAAACCTCTCGTAACAGAAGCTTGAGTTACTGTCGAGTTACTTCCACTTGAGCTACTAGATTTATTTGTCGACGTAGTCAAAGATGTCAAATTCGATATCATAGATGGTGATGTTAATTTTGCTCTTGAAGCTGCAAGGACTGATTTGTGATTAGGGAGATTCTCATTTTCATCCGAAGAGCTTGACGATGAAGACGATGATGAACTTGAATCTCGGTTCCGATGTACCGGCCTCTGGCGAAGACGTTGCCCCTCCATCTCATTTCCTTTTGAAGATGATCCACTTGCGCGCTTCGCATTTGTATGCTTAGGTTTTGGTTTTGATGCCGAATGTCTGTTGCCACTGGAAGTAGATTTATGCATCTTTCTTGATCTATCTCTTTCCCTACTCGTATTTGCTTTTGTGGGTGAGGAGGACATTGTGGGATTGTGGATTGATCGATGTTGACGACGAGTTACGCTACTCTGGAATTCTCGTTCAGCAGCACCCCTTACATCGTCCCTTGATTCATCTTCGGAATCCTCGATTATTGATTCAACTGTTGGTATTTTGTATCTTGTAGCCATATCTCAGGAGAGATCTACCAGTGTCCATTCACATCAGCTCGGCTTAACATTATTGATTCTAAAACAAGAGAAGAAGAATAAAAAGCAAAAATCAATAGATCTCATTGGGAGGGGAAGGTTCTTTAGATTGACAGGGCTTACCTAGATAATTTTGGGTAGCTATGATAGTGTATCGATATGCGATAACAAATTATCAATGCCCGATGAAGAAAACAATTGAATGAAGTGAATGAATTGATGATACAGATGAATTAAAATATTTAATAGTAGTAAACATGATCATGAAGAAGGAGGAGAGATCAAATGGAGGAATTCACGACAAGAGTAGAGAGAGGAAAGAGGAGGAGAAAAGTATCAAAATTCCAACGGATCAATATGATGATGATGGCAAAGTGATTGTCTGTATATCAATTCCCAGCTTCAGCTACGATACAAATATGGCACAAAACTGGCGCGCGCGTTGATCAAATTGGAATTACCTATGAGTGATGATGAATGAGGGGATGGGATGAGATGGGGCGAGGGGGCATGGATGTGTGTGCATGTGTGCGTGTGTGTGTGATGAGCGAGTGTTCAGCCGTCTCGTCGCCTCGTGTTTTGTGAGGGAAGAAGTGTTTCAAATTGTTCTTAAAAGATGGAACCACCAACACAGGCAATGAGAAAAGAATGAACGATAATAGATATAAAGTATAAGATACAAGGGACGGAAGGGAGGCGAGGCAGGCAGTGAAGGGTAAGAAGAAAAGGTTTAAGAAGGGACCAGGGATAATCCGAAATGTAGCAGGGGAGCTTTTAAGACTTTCTGATCATGGGAGAGTTCCCGTGAGTGGATAAGTTGGGTCGACGGTCGATATTGTTTAAGAATTCGCATAAGAAGTTGGGTGATGTACGAAGGATGATGTACGAAGGATGATGTTGTTTGTGTAAAGGTCTTGGAGGTCTTGGATTGCGATTTGACAATGATGGATGGATGGATGGATGGATGGATGGATTGATTGATTGATTGATTGATTCTATTCATATCTCGGGCGTTGTGTTTGAAGTGATGGAATCGATAAATGGACGATTGGTGGTTGGTCACACTTGGTTTGATGGGCTGATGATGTTGCTTTCCTAGATGTGGAATGGGAAAAGGAAAGGGAAAGGGTACGCCATTCGAAGGATTTCATGCATTATGAAGATCACAACATTTGGCTCTTGTCCAGGAGAGTTTGTCAGTGAAATGCATTTTGACTTGGGATATACGAGCATCTTTTGATGGCTTTTGTTTGCTTTCTTTGACATATACCTAGAATAGACACAGGTATCCTAGAAATGTTATATTGGCATTTATCAAGCGACCAGTAGCTCGTCCGCCCGACTGTCTTATAGTCCGGGGAATAGAAGCCAAGCTAGATTAAGTACAAAAGAGTAGAAAAAGCAAACCATCCCATCGTGACCATCTCACTATTCTACTCCGTGACAATCCTAGTCGGCCTCCACGGCAGTGGCCCCCGGAGGGCCAGCGGAGCGTCATATAAGATCTTAGTTTTGTTTGCGTTGAATCAGGTATTCTCACCTACTAGGTAGTCGTCTCCTTTTATCGATGATGAATCCAAAATCTGCCTGCCCAGTATGTAACATCAAACAAAACAAATACTAAATTATCACTTATGCAAATGTATATCCGGTTATGATGGGATTGGTCGGATCAATAGTCTGCTGCGTTGCTGCACTGCTGCATTGCGGGACCTCCCTTTAGACCAAACTAAATTATGTGACCATATAATGCAGCTATAATAGTGTGAACAGAGTGAAGGATGAAGTGTGAAGGGTGAAGGGTGAAGGGTGAAGGGTGAAGGGTGAAGGGTGAAGGGTGGAGGGTGGAGGGTGAAGAGAGTGAAGGGGCCATTAGATTGCAGCAAATATCACCCTTGATCTCATAGCAAATAAAAACAAACAAGTACACACATACCTACTACATACCTACATACATACATACATACACACATACACACATACACACATACACACATACACACATACACACACGCACACCCAATTCAATCGATATTATTGAATTGGGTAGCTACCGACATCAATCAATTAATCAATTGGTGATGAGAATTATCATCAATGTAGGTACCAATTTCCAATTCACAAATAGAAAATAATTGTGATACACATTCACTCAGCCTCACATTCTCTCATATTTTATCTTGATTTCCTTCATCTTTTTGATAAGAAAAGATAATATCATCGCCGAGTATGATGGAGATTCGATGACACGAGATGGAAGATTCTATCAAGACGTGCACCATTCTTACTCGACACCTTATATTTGTATAACCAATACTTCTCCAACACATATTATCATATCAATCAATATCACACGCCTTACGGGATATCATAATAAGTTCATCGATAACAATATCCGTCTCATTTGAAGTTCATTCATTTTTCACGCATCATCCACAAGTAAGACGGAGAGAGGAGTCACAGCCACCGAGTGATCCTATCCCTATCTTTTTTCCCCCGAGACCCCTCGAATCGGGTGCCCAATTATTCAGAAAATCTCATTGCATGCATGAGCCCGAGCCCGAACCCGAACTCTGCCTGACCATATGATCAACGACCGTGAATTCTCTAGAATTCTCTATCAAACCATTATTTGCCCAAGAGAAGACCAATTGGAAAGATACCACCTCTTTGAGAGGATCCGCAAGTCCGATGACTCGATTTTCTCCTCTGGTTCTTCGCAGATATCTCCTTGGGGGCCAACTCAATTCGACGGGTTGTCTTCGTCATAGAGCTATTGGTAGTAAACATGTACCTTCCATTTACGCCTCAAGATCTCGGGCAATACACGGATTACATACTAATGCAGAATCGGCGTCTTCCTCCTCCACGAATCACAGCATTCAAAATTCATTCAAAGCAGCGCGGAAACAGCCAAAAGATGAAGGAATAGGAAGAAATACAAATTCGGAAAAGTTACAAAGTCTTGATGAATGGGAGTTGACAGTAGGAATCGAAATACACGCACAATTAAATACCGAACGAAAACTTTTCTCACACGCGGCCTCATCCTTTAACGATACGCCCAATACGCATGTCGCATATTTCGATGTAGCCTTGCCGGGCTCTATGCCCATATTTCAAAGCGAAACTCTCATACCTGCTATTCGAGGAGCGTTAGCTCTGAATTGTAATATTCAAAGAACGAGTCGATTTGATCGCAAACATTATTTTCATTGGGATCAACCTGCGGGGTATCAAATTACACAATACTACGAACCTTTTGCGAAAGATGGATACATGACATTATATGCGCACGATGGAATTGCAAAGGAAGATGGAGAAGAAATTCGGATAGGAATCAAACAAGTACAAATGGAACAAGATACGGCCAAAACAATCTCACAACCTGGGGATATACACTTGTTGGATTTCAATCGTGTAGGTTTACCATTGATTGAAATTATTTCTCTGCCACAGATACATCATCCAAGTACAGCAGCTGCATTTGTCCGCAAGGTACAAATGTTGTTAAACTCAGTTGATGCTTGTGTTTTGGGTATGCAATCTGGGGGATTGAGAGCAGACGTAAATGTTTCTGTAAAGAGAAGAACAGAGGACAGTTCCGGTTTTGAATACGCCGGTGTTCAAGGACTTGGGCAAAGAACAGAGATCAAAAATTTGAGTAGTTTCAAATCTATTGAAGATGCTATCATTGCCGAACGTGATAGACAAATTTCGGTTCTGGAAGACGGTGGGGTTATTGAAGGAGAAACTCGTGGATATGCAATTGGAAGTACAGAGACACGAAGACTTCGAGGGAAAGAAGGAGAGGTGGATTATAGATACATGCCAGACCCAGATCTAGCCCCTGTGATTATCGATGAAGCACTTACACAACATCTTGGTGCTACGCTCGGCGTCTTACCGGATGAAGAATTGGCAATACTCGAATCTGAATACGGTATCACGGTAAAAGATGCTATTGATTTAGTGTCTTTGAATGAGGGAGGACGAGTGGAATATTTTCGTAATGTAGTAGATGTTTTGACATTATTGAATCCTCATGAACCGCAAACGAAACTGGGAAAATGGGCAAGCAATTGGGTTTTACATGAACTGGGTGCGTTGATCTCGGATTATGGAGAGGAGGAAAATCCACTCAGGTTTACGAGTTATGGGGAGTGTGTGATTTCACATTCTCAAATGGGTCATTTGATACATTATCTTAACGAGGAGAGAATTACGGGAAAGACGGCGAAGAAAGTTTTGAAGGTTTTATTTGAGAATGGACAGGGGGGAGAGGTGAAATCGGTAGAGGAGATTATTGAGGGTGAAAATTTGTGGTTGAGGAAAATGGAAAGAAGTGAATATGAAGAGTTGGCGAGGAGGATCTGTGAAGAGGAGAGGAAAACTGTCGAGGAGATTTTGCAGGGGAAGGATGGGAAGATTAACTTTCTGTTAGGAAAGATGATGAGGGGGGATAGGGAGGGGAGGGTTCAACCGCTTGTTGCGAGGGAGGTTTTGAGGGAGGTGGTGGAGGGGTTTAGAGATGTATAGGGGGGTTGCCTTGGATGAGGTTAGATGACTGAAATTATTGAAATGAAATGATCACAATATCAATCCTTGTTGGCGATTGAGATAAAGCTTTGTTCTATTTCGTTTCGTTCCGTCTAGTATCACTCCTTGACACTTTATTTCCTCTCCCTTCATTCCGTTTTCACATCTTCTTCTTCCTTCCTCATTTCATCATGTCATCACAATTACCAACAAACCAACCAACCAACAAACAAACAAACAGTACAATACCTCGATACCTCAGTAACGTGGCTGTACTGCATTCAGCACAGTCGACAAATTCGATTCCAACTCCACGTCCAATCCCACGCTAGACCCGTCCCCGTATCTCGGGTCTGAGACAGGGATGAAGATGGGTGGTTTGACGCGCGCTTAGGTGGAGGCTTTCGATTGGTCTTTGGATGTACTTGGGTTTTTAGATGGGTAGGTTTGTAGGTTTGTAAATGGGTAGGTTTGTAGATGGGTAGGTTTGTAGATGGGTAGGTTTGTAGATGGGTAGGTTTATAGATGGGTAGATGGGTAGCTGTGTAGGTATGAATAGATGTATGAATGGATGTATGTATGTATGCATGGATGGATGAATATATCTAAGAGTAGATATTCATTTATACATAGAGTCAAATGTAGATATTGAATTTTCTTTGTTTATAGAGGATTTCATCGGATATATGTATATATGATATCTCTAGATTTATCTCTTTTCTTGAATAAATACTGTCAAGGGAAATTATGAGGAGGAGGTGAGGGGAGGAGAATCATTGATTCGGAAAAGGTTTACTCGAAAGCTTTTTCAATACTTGCTTGATATGTTTCTGGGATTCTTTTGGGGGGGGAGAGGGAAGTTTGCGTTGTTGGGAAGTAATTGTTTTGTAATGATTTGTGCGGGGGTTTTTTCTTTTAGGGTTGGGGGCGGGGGGGGGTTTCTTTTTTCTTTTTATTGATGTTGATTGATATTTATATTGATTTAGATGGGTAGGTATGGATGGATGGATGGATGGATGGATGGATGGATATTTTCAAGAGTGTGAGTATGAATCTTTTTACAATATAGTATAGTATTACTTGCATTATCTTGATTCGCTTGATTTGCTTGATCTGCAGAGAGATGGAGAGATGGTAGTCTTGATAGATGGTAGTCTCGATAGATGGTTTGATTATGTTTTATCAGGTATGTGTGTATGTATGTATATGTTGATATGTATATACATCTTTATAGCTAATTTTCTATCAACGATAGATATAGGTTCTTGAGCTCTGTGAGATGATTCGTTTGGGTTGTTTAGTTTGTTTAGTTAGGTATTAGAACATAAAGTTTCCACTCCTGTCCTCAAGAAACGAGAAAATTGGATCGAAAAGGATCACCTCTCATCGATCTGATGAAAATTGGTTATTGGTGAAGAAATTGGAAGCAAGTTGGGTGGTCGACTTTATAGGCTGGGAAATTTTGAAGGATGGATGATGGAGGATGGAGGATGGAGGATTGTTGAGCCGCGGTTTGTTTTGCTTCTGTTCTGTTAACGTTGGGTGAGAGGTGGGGTTAGATCGGGTTACTGAGGATTGGGGCTAGGGTTGAAAGAGGAGAAATAACAGAGATCGGACCGGCACTGAGACTGGGGTCGTGTGGTTACCGTACCATGTCCTGGTGATATGATATGACCTTATTGTTTGCGGTATGTGGTAGGGCTGGTTGGATTGAAGTAAGTGAGTAAGCAAGTATCGGTAAAAGGTTTTTAGACCGTGGATAAGATGAGATGAGATGAAACAAAGATTTCTATCTGTTTGTTTGTTTGTTTGTTTGTTTGTTTGATGGAGACCGATGTGGAATCTAACTTTTTTGCGGAGGGTTATTGGATGAAAGATGTTTTCTATTTCATATCTATATTCTCAGCCACGGTTACGGTAGTGCTATTATGTCGAGGAGGACATTACTAACTTTGTTAATAAGTGTATTTTCGTTCTAGTCTTAACTTGAGTTTATATTGGGTATCTCATTTGACTCAAGAGAACTGAAGAATCGGGGAAGGATAGTGGTTGGGGCTGTAGATTTATGGATATGTAAGAAGAGGTCTGCAGATTTGGGTGGGGGACCTGAGACCTTGTTCCTTTGACCAATTGTTCATTTGTTCTTACTTGCTTCGCTGCTATCACTCTCTTTTGTATCTCTCGGAGTCGTACGTTTTGCTATAAAACCCCATTCTCAACACGTTCATATCTATTCTAATATCTAGATTCATCATTCTTTATTCACCATTTCATTTCATTTCACTCACTCACACCTTTCAACATCTCCCATCCTCCCCAACATCAAAATAAACCCAAACCCTCTCTCCCCTTCTCATACTCACCATACTCAACTCCCTGCCTCCCACCAACAATCCAGATCTCGTAAATTAATGCTCGAATCCCTCACTTCCTCTCTCAATCCCTTCCTACCAGAACTTTTCTCAATCTTCCATCTCGATCTCCTATTTCTTTTTCTTTATTTTTGTTTTTGGAAACGCTAGATAAGTCTTTAATCTTTCATTCCATCCAATTTTCAGAATTTCAGATCACAAGACTGATTAGATACCTATTCTTCATTTTATTTCTATTGTGTTGACGAGTTATTGAAAGTAATCAAGAAGAGATGTTCCTCCGCTACTGCGTATATGTCGCCTTGACGCTCTATTTGCGGTTTCTTTAGTTGAATGGAGGTTGTCTCCGGGGGGTTTTCGTTTTTTGTTGATGTTTCCTGTTGGTCATCTCATTATCAGCAATCACAGATCTCACTCCCTTTGAGTTGAAATACTGGTTGTTAGTTTCCTTTATCGACTTGTCCTTTTTTGCAGCTATTTTGCAACTTCTTTTCTCGGTTATTTCGTATTTCCTATTTCGTGTTGCTTATTTTTCTCGGTTATAGGCAAGCAATTGGATTAGATATGTATTTTCGAGATAGCTGGGATTTTAGGTATTTGTTTCTGGTTTTTTAGTATGTTGATACTTCTTTCTCTTTTACATCGCCTCGGTTTTCTTGTTATTTGATTGTCAGATCATTCATTTCCTATTTTCCTCTCTCTTATCCTCTCCCTCCTTTCCCGCCCTTCACTATCCCATCTCATCTCAGTCACTTTCACATTTCTCAATTTCGAGTTATCCTACCCATCCGAATAATTTCCTTTTATCTCCTCATCTCCTTTTCGTACTTCAGCTCTTTTTTACACACATTCCCGGTCTATCTCACCTATTACATTTTCCCACCTCTCATTCTCTCTTACCCTCGTTTTTACCTTCCTCTCCCTTCCTCTAAATCATCTCAAAAACAATACACACAGTCTCACTCACTAACTTCCATTTACCACCCAGAATCCAATATAATCTCTCTCGAATCTTCAAGTTTCTATACCTGTTGTCTCGCACAATCAAGAAAACCTAGCTAGCTAGCCGGCATTCTAGCATTCTAGTCTTCACATTAAAATTATCATCATACACCAATAACAATTCAATACGGATTCAATTGATAACTCGAAGTAGTATCTGAAATCTTATAATGATTCTTCGTTTCGCTTCTATTGATATCTCTTCGCTGAGAGGAAAAGAGGGGGAAAATTTCTGGGGTGTATTGAATAGGAATTGTAGTTCTTTAATTTAATCTTAATTAATACTGTACCAAAGAAACTACATCTCATAAGTGTGAAATTTTAGTTGAATCATTGATCTTTATAAATTTATGAACGCAAGTGGATGGCTGTAGGGATCAGGCTACTCTAGTACACTTGGCGAGAAAGCTAGTCTTCATGAACAAGGATTGGTTTTTCCTGTATAAAGCCAGCTCTCTAGATTTAACGTAATATTGATAATTAGGACCTACAACATAGGTGCTACGTCATCTGTACTCTTCTCATACAAGATGTGATTGTTAGTACAATCTCGGTAGTGATTATGACGTCTTTACAGTAGGTTTGATACTTTGATCGATATTGTCTGTGACTATTTTAGGTTAGAGCTACGAGAGCTATATGCCATTCCCTTATGCGTAGCGTGCACTCACGTATGCACATTCATTCGAATCGATGGGTGATCGTGAGTTGTTGAGATTGATTGGCCTCGGGGGCTTGCCTTGTTTTGTTGCGAGGTGTTCGAAGTAAGTAAGTAAATTCATTCGTTTATTGGTGAGGGGCCTGCAGTAGAAGACTAAAGTCATGATTTCATGAATTCTAAAGTTGATACTGCACTTGCCCCGAGCACCAGTCTATAGCAGCAGCCTACAAAAATTCGCGTATTTTATACTCGTACAGAATTTGACTATTCAAATAAATATTCGCAATAAACGTGAAAGCGACTGGCTGTACGGTTTGCCACTACTGTATGGGGTTTGAGTGGGATACATACATAGATGTTATAGTGATTGGAGAGAGAGGTAGCGATTTATAGGGGTTTTCATAGATTGGCTGGTGGGGTGGGGTTGGGTATGAAGAGATCGTCTTCTGTGCTGTTTCCATGGTAAATACAATACAAATCTTTTCCTACATACCATCTTCAGTCGTCTCTTCATTTGTGCGGGTACTTCCCATACAGTCGTGGCGTGGACACCAGGCTATGAAAAAGCTGAGACACCACAAAACGGCAATCACCAAGATAATTAAACGATGCAAATTTCAATATCTTATCATTTTATAGGTACAGGATAGTAATTATAGAGTTTGTGGACATTTTCATTTCAGGTCTGACCTCAAAATATTGATTCGTTGAAATGATGTTGAATATAAAAGAGGTCATGATAGACTAACAGGCTAGTACTAGCTCCCGCCCCAGCCGACTCTACCTAGGTATCCACAACTACACACCCTTAGAGGGACCATGTTCAACCGTCGCTTACATAGAATATTTCTCCACTCTGGTTCTCAAAGTTCTCATTCGAGTGCTTGCTACTATCATCGAGATCTGCAATAGAGGCTGTTCTACCCGGCATCTTTCCTGAGACTTCACGTTCTCTCGAAGAATTCTTCTGGCACTCGTATCAATTAAAATCCGTATCGATTATGTAATTTTATCGGACTTTCATTCTTTCTATTATGCACTTTCAAAGACTATTATCTGATGTCATAAAGACATTACTACGGGCTCCTCCACCAGCTCTCGACCATGTCTCAAATTCGAACAAGAAGCATACGTGAAAGTTTTCAAAGTCCACAGATAGCAATCCTGTCATGAATTATTGGGGGAGCATTGTTGATATTCTTTCTGGTGCAGAATCAAAACGTATTGCATACGCCAACCCAATTGTCAAGGATCTGGTTTATGAATTTGGCTCAGATTCTATAATGAGAGAAACCAGATCAGACTTGAGTCAGCGCAGTTTAGATCTGCTGAAAAAAGTATTAAAGGAGGACTACAGGCCCCCTTCGAGCAGTTTTGGTATTCACAAGCAAACTTTTCCAGATCCGGTGAATTCGACCGCATCCTATTATGAAAAACCTTATAACGAAGAAACTTCAAGTGGAAAGCCACATGAATTCGATCTTCGCTGGATTCATCTTCCTGTCAATGAGGTAAGGCCTTCAGAGTTCGCACGATGCTGATTATGTAGTAGTGCTGATGAATCATTAACAGTTACATCTGATGAGAGTAAGTTGTACGGTGACTCCCACTTTTCTCAAACGTCTGATAAAAAATTCAAGGACTTGGTGAGTCGGCTATCGAGGGATTCGAAAAGATCTGAAGGAGAACACATGACTATCATGAAACACTTCAACAAAAGCTGGACAGAGCTGGCTGCAGGCTCAGAACGTTACTACATGAAACCCCAATTCGTGGTATGCAACAAAAAACCATAATTATGATAGCATTGAGAGCTCACCATCCTTGCATCTAAATCGCAACCAGAATACCCACCACAATCACCCTATCAGTGGTGTTGATGGCGACCAAACCCCAAAAGAGGTTAACACCGACGATTGCGCGGCAATTTACGTAGGTGGCAACACTATTTCCCAATCTCCTCCTCAGACAGGAACTTAAAATACTGACCATTGTCCACAAAAGATGCCATATCTAGACACAGGGACATATCCCCCTACAGTAAATAAACCACCAACTACTGAACATCTCACGATGCTCGATGAGTCGATCAACGAACGTAATTCGAGAACCATTAAACATCTGCCGATGACTCTCGACCAATATTACTATCCGGCCATTGAAGATACTTCGAAGAGAGATAATGATCAGGTGCTGTCAAAGTTCTTGCAAAAGAAGTTTGGACAATCTAAAAGTACACTATTCCTGTCAAAAATAGTCGTGGGCAAACCTATGGTGTTCGAAACTGACGCTTACCAGACGATAAAAAAATCCTCATGGTAAAGTAGCTTTGGATTTGGATTATCGACAGAAGTATTGTTACAGATTCCGAATTGCAAGTATAAATAAGCGTGTGATTCGGCTGACTCTGCTTCAGAAACAATCATCACGGCCACAACCCAGAACTTTGGTGAAGCTTCCACAGAAATCAGCAAAGCAGATCGAGAACCTCCAGAAAGCCTCCAGAATGCAGTGGATAACATACTTTACGGCGAGACTAAAAGTCAATTTGAACGCGCAAGAACAGCCGATTCCCTGATGGAGCTTCTTCTTGGTGTTGCATCTGGGCTTTTCATAAAAAGATTTGTACCTGTTTCTGATCAAATCTATAAGGGGCCTATTGAGATATTTCGAGAGTCAATTAGAGATATGGTTTGTTACTGTACTCATATTGAATAACATGATCTTCAAACTGATATGTTTGATTAGGCTGAAAAAGAATCTTCGCTTTTCCAAGAGTTTCTTCAAGGTCTCCAGGAAGCAAACCCTCGGGAACCAGAGCAAAAGCAAGGAAAACCTTCCAATACAAAGTCTGACACCAAGTCGCCGGATGGACCGATGCCTTTAAATCGCTATCATGTTATTTCATCTGAAACCGAACTTCTAAACATGATACGAGATATCTGTGACGAGCTTCATATGCTCAGATCTTTAGCAGAGGACCAAGAAATTGTTTGGAAGCAGGCCTTTGCTTCCAGTGACCTGATGCACTTCAAAGCTTACACTCCCACTAATGTCAAGAAAGATCTGGATGATATGCTTTCTGAAGCAGATGAAACAGAGAGCTATGTCAACGGGATACAAAGGATCACATAAGTTGAGTTTTTAGCTGACATAAAACAAAGATCAACACTCTGCTCGACCGGCGACAAGCGGAATTCGGCAGATTACAGGCATACGATTCAGCCAGACAGTCCAACAGTATCTTCATATTCACTACCATGACCATTGTATTTGTAAGTCTTGATTGGCAATCATCAGAGAAATGGGAATACTAGCAAAGCTAATGGTTTTCCTTCAAATTCAGCTTCCACTCTCATTCCTGACGTCTCTCTTCGCGCTGAACGTATCCGATTTTCCCACAAAGGGGACAATGTGCAACATAAGGGGTGGTGGATATTTCCTATTATCTGCGAGTGTTTCTGAGGCCGAGAAATTCAATAGCTAACATGATGATTAGTTGGTGTCACCACACTTGTCTCTGTTCCAGCTACCATTTTCACGTGGAAATTCAACGCCATTTCTAGCTTTCGACCACGAAACAGTATTGTCAGTGAAAGTTTGAAGCATACTGATGCTTTAAAGGTAGCTTTGAGTAGAGTGAGAAGGAGAGGTAGGAAACAGCATGATATTGAGGCAAAATAATGGGAGGTGGGCGTAATATATATGCATAGGCTGAGAAGCATATTGATGATTATTTTCTCTGATATATAAACGAATTATTATTTTCATTTGACAAAATTTCTAATAACGATTAAAATGTATACACAAATACATTTTCCTGCTGGGTTGAGTGTACCAGTGTACCTACTGCTGCTTTCTTTCAATCGAACTAGCGACGTGTGCACTTTGCGACGACTGTAACAACATCGAATAGCTTGACTAGCAAGAGAATGGTGCATTATAGATATGAGTGGCAATTCCACCATTCCAAGATAAGCATGATTTTCGTTATGATATTGTATGATTTCGGGGAGGTCAGCGAGTATTGCGCAAGAAAGATGTATCAGCGTGAACGACACATCTTCTCCGGAGAACTTTGTGATATATAGGATGGTTATTTTTGTTTAGAAAGACTATCCACATTGACGTCACGAGTTGAAGAAATGACAGTCTCATTGATCAAGTAGATGATCAGGCATACAAAGTCATGAGACGAATCTACATATTTATCCTACCTTAGAACTTACGCATAAGAAGCAGACGTGCGAGGAAGACAGTTGGCGCACTACAGGAATTCAATGCGCGACTACAAGAGACTGATAACTGTTTTCTGTAAGTTTTAATCTAAAAAATCGCCGGTTTAAGGGACCCGGATACAGCATATGGTCATACATACCTGCCTAAATACATGCATATCTACTACGTATTGGCCCTCAAAACAGAATTCGCGTCGTTCTTCTCCGTCTGCATATCCACATTCATTACCCCCTCGGACATTTATCATCTACTCTTCCATCTCACCCTCCCCACCCAATCCACAAACTTCTGCACATCCTCCCTCTCCCCCAGTAACTCAACCGTATAGTACTCCCTAGCCAGTTCTTCATGCCCCGCAACGCGATGTACAAAACTATGACACGCTCTACATAACCACGCTACATTGTTTAAATCTTCCTCGGTATGCCAACCGCGTTTTAAGACTTTCGCATGCACGAATTTGGGAATGAGATGGTGGCAGGTGAGGGGGATCCAATCGCGGTCGCAGAGCTCGCAGGCGGTGGTAACGGCGCGGAGGGCTTGGGGCGTTGGAGGCGGGGAAAGTAGATGCGAGAAGTAGCTGGAGAGGGGGGTGTGGAGAAAGGAGGAGAGGGCTATACAGGGAGGAAGCAGGGAGTAGGTATGCAGTGAGTCGGAGATGCTAGGGGGGAGAGAATCGGCGAGGAGAGTTGAGGTTTCGAAATCGAGGGGATACAGGGAGGGATATTTCCTTTGGAGAGAGAGGTCGTGAGTGTAGGTTGTGTATGATAAGGTTCGGAGATCGGATGAAAGGTGCGTGAATATTTCTAGAGCGATGTACTAAGTTTATATATATTAATATTCATTTCCTGAAGAAAGGTTGCCGTTTTCACGTATAAAGGAAATCGTACTTCGATAAACTCCGCCAGCTCCGCTGCATCGTTGATTTTAGTTTCTTCTACATCGATCTCTTTCGATAGAGGTTTTATAGCTGTTTTCCTCCCCGCTTTAGCTTTCCTCGTTTTCCGTTTCGACGTATCTGGGTTCGAGGTAGATGTGCATTGTTCGATCAAGGGTGTAGAGATACAATCGAGAAAGATGCGAAAATTGGGTTCTTCGGTGGCGTCGATCATGAGGCACGGAGTTTATCGCCGATGTTGATGGTAAAGCTAGAGGGGAAAATGAAGGGGTAATGGCTCGGTAATTTTGGGTTCCGCAACTCCATGTGAAATTTGGAATATGTGGTTTTGTTTATCTGGTGATGTTTATATTGATCGAAAGCCCGGACGCCACCATCGATGAAGTCATGACGGTGAGATGCAGTGGTGGAGATGCTTAGTGCTGCCAAGTATTGAGCTGGAGCCACTATGCTATGATGTGCAGTGTATTGGGTCATCCCGCAGTAGATATCGTCAATTCTAGGCTTTCGGCACCAGGCGAATTTTTTTAGTGTTGATTACCGGTAAGTAAACCTTACCCCGCAATGATACTCTTATTGGAGCTTGTCATTAATGAATGGCAAATTTTACGGATATTATTCTTCCAAAACCTCATAGATATATAATAATTTGATACCAAATATTACTATAAAGCTCGGTAAGTTGTCGTTTTACGTTTTTGAATGCGAGGGATAGTTCTGATTTTACTAGGTATACATACAATCATGTCGGACAAGAAAACAATCATAGCCTTTGATCTCTACGGTACTCTGCTCTCTACCGAAAGTATTGCAAAAGAATTGGCCCGTCATTTTGGCGATGAGAAGGCGCAATCAGTTGCTACACTATGGAGGAGATATGTATGTAGCGATCCAGTGTTTCTTGTCAATAGGTGCAAGTCGTCTGATATGTGAAAATAGCAATTAGAATATACTTTCCGGATGAACAGCATGTGTAAGTTTCATTCCCTTCCCGGTTCAGGTCCCCATCTTAAATTTTCTTTACGATGCAATAATGGAGAAACATGAACAACCATGTAGGTATCTGACAGTAATTCTAGTACTATATAAACCCTTCTCAGAAATCACAAATACATCGCTTCGTCACGCAATATCCGAACATAGACTTGCTCTGTCTGAAACAGATATTGAGAGTGTAATGAAAAAATACAATTCTCTCTCCGCCTTTCCAGACGCTCTGACCGGACTCGAAAACTTGGCGAAACATTCGGAAACTAATGCTTATGTATTTTCAAATGGGACAAATGAAATGGTCTCTTCGTCTGTCAATAATTCACCGGAGCTCTCAAAGTTCAAAGATCTTTTCAAAGAGCTCATTACGGTGGAAGATGTGGAATACTATAAGCCCCATCCGAAAGTTTATGAACATTTGGTTAGGAAGGTGAGAGGTGGTGTTGAGAAAAAGGATTGCGAGGATGTGTGGCTTGTCAGTGGGAATCCGTTTGATATCGTAGGTGCAAGACACGCGGGTTTGATGACTTGCTGGGTGGATAGAAGTAAAGGGGGTTGGAATGATATGTTGGGCGATTTGGCAAGTGGGGGACCGCACCTGGTTGTTGAGGGGGTTGACGCCGCTGTGAGGGAGATTCAGAGAGTGTCTAAAGATTGATGAGGGGTGTATGCTGAAGCTCTAGCTTAACTTTGATAATTATATGCTTGTATACTAGGTCTGAGGTAGAATTTGTTATAGATTGTGAATGTATGGATTGTGTGCCCAAGGAAATGAATTGAGAAAGTTGAGACGTGAAAGAGTGAAAACATAAAAGAAACTTCACATATTTGATTGAAATTCCCCAGGTAAGATAGTTGAAATAGGCGAATCATTAGCCTTTCTAAAAACAAATCTTGAAGTAAATACCTAATGAATGGATCTGGGAAATCTATGCAGCAATTCTTTATTTTCGTCCTGGAATGCATTTTCCATGCACAGCCACATATCACGCGTGGCGGTGCAACATATCTTAGCTTAGTCCGCTGCCTGCCCCGCAATATATGCCAGGCCTCTTGCCCTTAAGATCTTATGATCATTCCGTATGAGCTATTCAATACGATATGCTTTGACAACTGAAGTCAGAACTACAGCAAAGATATAGGAAGGGAAGATATAGCTTTCGAAGCTGAGGTAATCTTCAAAAGGTTCTTGTCATCATGGAAAGGGAGTGGGTAGTTCACGAGTCGGCAGGTAGTTGGCTGTGGTATGGATAAAAAGAAGCGGACTGGGCTCCGCAGTGCTACCAGCTCTGCATGTGAGATATCGCTGATCTCTCAATACAAGGATCATTTCTTTCATCATCTGCGACACACTGACGACTATATCGCCGGTCTGAGGCGTAAGGTTTGATGCTATTATTCAAGCTTTTGGTTCAGTCTTCACCTTGAATCCACTGAGACATGAAGTTACATGACATGAATACGCTCGGAACATAGGAAACGAAACCTCCCAAGAACAACAGAAGAAGCAGGATAAGAAATCATGAAGGAATGGAATAATATAGGGGCACTGTCTTGACCTCCTGAACATTTTATGGAGAAGCAAGAATTTTCTGGGGCGTTTGTACCATAGGTGTGAATCTCCTTGCATCACTACTAATCAATTAAACCAGACCAAATCTCTCATTCTTGCTCAACAGCATCGTCACTTCACGAAATAATATAATGCTTCATATTTTTCGGATTTGATCAAGATTTCCTTGACATTTTAAAACAATCATCTGGGCGAAACAAAGCTGGAAGATCGATCGTGCTGAGAGTTGGAGAGGAAAGGTATTTGATGTATTAAGATTGTTAGGATGAAAAGTCCGCAGAAACTTGAAAGGCGGATCCTCTTCCTTTGTATGAAATTGGATAAGAACCTTTGAATTTTTGTGAAATTCTAGGACAGGATAGGGCACTGAGAAAATGTAGATGTGCTGATTTTTTCTCGTTTTTTGGTTTCAAAAGTCAGGATGGTGGGAAGCCGTTTTGTGGGAGTCCTTTTGTCTAATTTGTGTCGAATTTGGGAAAGGTGGGCGGTAAAATCTATCATTCAGGATGTGTAGTCATTCTTACGGACGTCCTCTTCCTTTCACAGGTCTGATTATGATCGAGAAGTCCTCTCGATTTGTATTGATTCTATTGAACGCGTCCAAAGAACAAAACGAACTTTCAGAGAGTAGTAGATCGTGAACTTGGCGTTCGCTGTCTAAAGTTTCTCGACTTTCCGTTCTTCAGTTTTCTCCCATAGTCTACCGACAAATGGTACAGGACAGTTTCTAGCATTCGTGAAAACCGTAAACATTTGAGGGCGGGTTGGCACGGTAATCCTTGGTTCTTCGACCTCAATATCGAATACAATACCTTTTATACATGATTTTGGTGGTACTGTCTATCTTTTCAAACTTGATCTTGGTTTGCCAGCACAGAGGTTAGAATGTTGCGATGTATATTGATGCAGACTTCGCTAATTCAGGGTGGGGGTCAGTAGACCCAGAGAAGACCTAAAGATTTTCGTTCTTGAGGAACCAAGTCA